CCCAACCGAGTACTTTCGGCCTTCTAGAGGACTCAGACAGGGGATCCTCTCTCCCCTCTGCTTTTCGTTATATGCTCCAAAGGATTCTCTGGCTTGTTGAGTCAGGCCGTGTCTATGGGCTTCTTGGAAGGAGTGCGAATCCGACCTTCATGCCCGATGGTTTCCCATCTTTTCCTTGCAGATGACTCCTTTTTGTTCCTCGAAGCCTCGTCTTCTTCATGTACAACTATGCTTTCTCTTCTGCAAGTGTATGAAGGGATCAGTGGACAAAGGGTCAATCTGGCCAAATCTGCAGTAATGTTCAGTCGGAATACCCTTCTGGATGCTGCACAATCAATGGGAACACAACTGGGGGTTGGTGGTATCGGAGAACAAGACTCATACCTTGGGTTACCTTCCGTCTTAGGAAGGTCTAAGAGAGATGCTTTTCTATTCATTGAGGAGAAGTTCCGCTAGAAACTTGATGCTTGGAAGCAAAGGGATCTATCCAAAGCAGCCAAGGATACGCTTATAAGAACATCTGCGACTAACTTACCTGTCCATGGTATGTCATGTTTTAAATTTCCTAAAGAAACCTGTCGTCGACTGAACGGACAAGTAGCCAGGTTTTGGTGGGGCTCCTCTGCAAATTATGAACACCCTATTCATTGGGTCTCATGGAGGGGAATAGCTCAAAGTAAATTCCATGGCGGTTTGGGATTTAGGGACTTTCAGGCGTTTAATCAAGCGCTCTTGGCAAAACAATGTTGGCGTATTTGGACTAATCCAGAATCTCTGTTAGGCCAGATCTATAAATGCCGCTACTTTAGCTCTTCATCCATTCTAGAGGCTCGGGTGGGGTCCAACCCATCATGGGGATGGCGAAGTCTACTTTATGGGCGAGAGCTTCTCCTTCAAGGATTACGTTGGCAAGTAGGATATGGCCATGATATCAATGCTTTCTATGACCTATGGATCCCAGCTCTAAAGCCAGAAAGCCCTATAATTAGGTTGGGTAACATTAATTCTGCTCCGCAAGTGTCCTTTTTTTATAAGAGAGGGTATAGGGGAATGGCATGTGCCGCGCCTCCACTATTGTTTTGATGCCCAATCAGTTGACCTTATTTGTAAGATGGCTCTTCCGCGGAATGCTCAACCAGATACCAGAGTATGGCATTTCACAAAAAATGGTAAATATTCAGTCAAGACAGGATATCACTTGGCTTTAGAAGGTATATTGATTCCAAATAGAAAATCATTTGCACATATTATTGATACTCCCATTTGTAAAAAGACGTGGGTCATCGAGACTCCTCCAAAACTCAGATTCTTCATCTGGCAATGTCTCAAAGTGGTCTTCCCTACAACAGTGGCTCTCAAATCCCGCGGGGTTAACTGTCTAAGTCGTTGCCCTGTTTGTTGGAGGTTCCAAGAAAGTATAGAACATTCGCTTTTTCGTTGCCCCCTTGCATCCAACTTTGGTATTCTGTGGGATTAAGTGATTTACTGAACTCGGCCCCAAGAAGAAATTTTAGTTTGTGGTGGCGTCAAATTATGCTAGATGAGCAGTCCCAAACCCATATTCTCCAGATAGTGTGCATCCTGTGGAGAATATGGAAATCAAGAAATAAAGTGGTATTTGAAAATACCCAGCCTCATGTCCGTTCGGTAGCCCGCCAATTCTCTTTTCAAATCCGTGAGGTTCTCTCTGCCCAGCCTGACCTGTCTCCCCTTCCTCGTGCTCCTGTCTCTGCTAGACCTCTTCTTTGGGATTGCCCGCCTCAAGACTTTTTGAATATTAACTTTGATGCTGCTCTCCAAAGTGCTGGCTCCTCGTCTGGCCTGGTTGTCCGCGGCTCGGATGGGCATGTGCTTCTTGCCGTGGGTGCGCAACATTATGGTATCTCGGATCCTTATCTTGCAGAACTCCTTGCAGCCAGGGATGCAATATCTCTTGCAACTTCTAGAAGTTTGTCTCCGGTTATCATCGAAGGCGATGCAGAAGTGGTCATCCGTCAGCTCAAGCTTCGATTGGTGGAGGATTCGATTGGTGGCCCCATTCTTCGCGATTGTTGTTATCTTCTTGAGTCTTGTTCTCTTTGTATAGAATTTAGGGCAGTACCGCGGACTGTCAACTGGACTGCTCATAGAGTGGCACGTAAAGCCCTGCTGCTGTCCTTGTTAGAGTTAGTTTCTTTTGACTTTGTTGGTTGGCTTGTAATTGGGATGGGAAGGGATTGTGGGTAGTTGGTTCTTTCTAACTATGTTCTTGACATTTCTCGGGCAAAAGAAAAAAAAAACAAATGATAGAGAACCTATCCAGGCAGATCATCATGAATGATATAGTTAATAGCAAAATTATGTAATTAACCACAAATTCCATAGTGGGGTATAATAAAAACTTTATCTATAAAAAATAATAAGTATAAGAAGAAAATAACTATTAGCTAGTAAAGGCTGTGAGTCTGTGACCCTCATGCTTAAATTTTCGCATTTTTTTTTTATATTCTGGGCACAACAAAGTCACACTTCAGACAAATTTTATTATTGGTACGATCCTAGTTTCGCACGGTCACAAAATTGGTGGACAACTAGCATGCAAACTTAATCCACTCTTTCCTGTTATTGGTAACTCGAAATCGGGAATTGTCTATTTCACATGTTTACAGTGAAGCTAACTTTCTTGCTGACTGTTTAGTGCATGAAAGGCGTACCATGTCTTTTGGCACTCATTCTATTATCCTTATAGACCTGAATGTTCAACATTGATCTTTGTATCATCGTGTGGGAGGATCCCTCCCTGAATTGAGTAGATAGAGGTGCTTTGCACCAATTTTATTAAAAAAAATTGCATTTCAAATGATTTCATTTTTGTTAACTCAGTCGGATTTTTGACAAGACACAACAGAAACAATGTTTTTGGTGAAAAACGGGTGCAGAGCACCAGTACCTCTTATTCATATATCGAACGAGCAGTAAAACTGTCAACAGAGTCAAACAGGTTCTAACAGAAGCACCGAAATGAGAAATAACAATATAAGGATAATCAGGAGACAAAGAGTGTCCCTTGTGAGCTAAACAGTCAACCAGGAAATTGGCCTCTCTATTAATATAGGTGAGTCTGACTTCTCAATCCCGGTGCAACAAAGCTTGAAAGGCCAAAGTAAGTCTGGGATGCTCATGGCTATGACGGCCGGTATCTTGGAGCAATGTGATCGGCGTCATGGAGTCCCGTTGCAATTCCACTCGGCGATGCCCTGTTTCCCATAATATCCCAAGGCCCTTGAGTGCCCTCCAAATCTCTGCTCAAGTTATGGTACACATTACCAGGTTCATCACAAACAATCTATAATAATGTTTCATGCGTATCATAAGTCTTATTAAATTAACCTCAGAATTCAGATGGGTCATTACTTCATTTTCCCCTTTCTACTTAAATTAAAATCCTTTCCTTCTTTCTATCCACTTCCACTCCCAGATTACTGAGAGGCCATGTTATGAATCTCTTCTGTTCTCTAAATTAATGGACGATTTGGTAGCGATAGTGGAGGGTAGGCTGACAACTTACCTAGTGCTTAATCATAATAATTAATTAATCATACATTACGTCTACAGAATGATGTATAAAAAAAACATGTCCTTTATCCGGTGGTTTCTGATATTTACATATAATAATAATAATTTCTTCATCGCAAGTTGACTTGTAATATATCCGAAATTATATATAAAAAATAACTTATAAGTAATGGATTTCCCAATTGATTTGGGAATCTCGCCTTATGATTTCACTTCGCGCTGCCATACTAGATTCTTCATGTTTCCATTAATCAAATCTTGAGCGTTAACGAATTAGCATAGAAAATGAGAATTTATGACTTGCTTGCTTATCTACATCAATTTGAACTTGTTTATTTTTTTAATAAAAATTTCTTGGTGAGATTGTTTTACCGCTCAAACCGATAAAATCAGAAAACAAAACTTTCCATAGTTGAAGAAGAGATGGTCCCTCGAACCTTCATCTAAATTGCATAACACAAAACTCGGGTTTACGATCTTCCCCAACTCCTCAACTTATCACGAATAATTAGTACTAATATTCAACTTGACTAGCCAAGCTAGAAAAAAAATCTATAAATGTGAAATTTTTTCCATTGCATATTAAACCAAGCGACACTAGAAGAGAGATACAAAAACTCCATCTTTTCCGTCTCAAATATTACGACACTCCCTACAATTTTCTAGGAGTGGATGAGAATTTTCTAGCATGTGACATCAACAAACAATTGGACAATATAGTAGCCACTAGCCAAAGATTTGTAAATTCTACAAACGTGTGCTTATTATTCGTAGTTATTATAAAATATAATGCCCCTCGACCCTTTATTTTATTTATTGATTTTGTTTTTCCAGGGAGAATCTCCGAACCATGGGAGAAGAAGAAAAAGAGACAGTGAATATTCGTGTCAGCAGACAGCAGGCAATACGAATCAACCCACCTCCCATCATTTCTCCCACAACTAGATTCTATCCCAATAAAATAAATTTTACAGAAATAATAAAAACGCAAAAAAGATCATGTTTACAGTTTCTTGTAATATTGTTCCTCCTCATTGCTAATGGATTTCCAATTTGGATCTCACTTTGGTATAAATCAATAGGGGAGAAAAGACAACACAAGCCTTCTTCTCCACAGTGACTTTCTCATGTAAGATCAGTAGGTTGGTACTAATTGGGAAGCATCATATCCCATTTGTGGGATTCTCACACTTACTATCCAACTTATTCTGTCCCCCAAAATTAATTGCCAAAAAGAAGTCACCACCATATATGACAAGTGTAGTAGTAAACTTTGTGGAAGAGATTTCACGGTGAAAAGCCAACGATCATTGAAACAGATAAAGTTATTACGGAGAAATTAGTTGAACAGTGTAAAATATTTGATTTTTTAATCTAGGTTCGATTCCTTATTGCATTTTCGTTATTTATAAATTACCATACAAATACCGTTTATGAGACAAGAATTGCATAACAAGATAAGTTGGGACTTCTCTCTATCATTTACCATCCATTAACCAAACTTGGCCTTACATGATACATCGGAGTAGTACATATAGCACAAAGGGAAGAGTAAGAAAAAGAAGAAAAAAAAAGTAAAGAAAAGAAATTGCATATCAAAAGCAGCATAGTTTATGTCAATTCTTTCAAAATGCAAAACAAACAAAAGAGCTCACAACAAAATGTTGGGGAGGATGTGACAAAAAAAGAAGAACAGAGAAAAAGGCCCATTTTCCATGCATTACTAAAATTTTAAGTCTCATATTTCTCTTCTTTTTTCTCTCTTTTGAGAAATTGTTTTTTTTTTTATATCTTTTTCCCCCATGCTCCTAAGCTCTGCCGTCGGTCTCTTGGTTCAGCTTCTCAAGCGGAACTTCATCAGCCAGAGGCATGCTAATGGGTGCAATCATAGTAACGTGCTTGCCGTTGTTGTCGTTGTCGCTTTCTAATTTCTGCACATCATCCACCACCTTGTTTGCTTCAACATCTCCATTAATGGCTGCCACCACCACTACCGAGCTCCCATTCCCATAATTAACCGCCGCCGACGATCCCTTCACCGGGTCAAGAATCTCGTCGTCGTCCATGCTCATCTTCTCCTTCTGCTTCCCCCACAGCACCGCGTACAGTCCTATCACTATCAGCACCGATCCCACGATTCTGCATACCATGTCATGAACCAATTTCGTCAGTAACCCACTCAAATATATATGACAATTTATGGGTATCTTAGGGTTCGGTTTCTTACCCTCCAAGGAAGATCTTCTCAGCCAAGATGAAAGATCCCATGATCGCCACAATGATCATCATCAAGGGGCTGAAAGCCGTCGCGAAAACGGGTCCTTTCTTCTTGATCACCAGCCCTTGCACATAGTACGAAATGCTCGATGTCACAATCCCCTGAATATCCACAAACAAACTCCGTTAGACAACAATTTTTTGTTAGATAAACTGAAGGAGAATTTTGGTGGCGGGGAACATACAGCATAGGCAGCAGCGAGGAGGTTCATGTCGAATCCAATCTTCCACGCCGAGGGATTGTGCTCCATCACAAAGGTGACTGCAATTGCTTGGACCGTCCCCATGAAGCACACCAGCGTTGTCAGGGACAGCTGGTGGTTCTTGTAGGTCCTCAATGCTTTGGTCTGTAAAAATATTTTCAAATTAATCTTCCTTTCATCTACCTGGGGGACACTAAACGCGTTACGTTTTTTTTGTTATACGTACTTGCAAGACGAAGAGAAAGGCCCAGGCGAGGGTGGCGAGGATGAGGAGAATGGAACCCTTGAACCAATCTTTGTCGCTGCTTTCATGGGAAGCAGTGGCGCCCTGTTCAGATCCAACAGGCTGCATGGCTTTGGACCAGAACATCTCCACAATCGGACCTTTGTATAACGTCATCAGCATCGCACCTGCCACCGTGACTAATGTTCCCACCAGCTTGGCTTGGGTCCTCACTTTCTTCACTTCCAGCTTTTCCATTCTGCACCACCATAAAAAACAGAGGAAATTTTTTTTCTTTTGAGAACCAAGTTGACAGGGGAAAAAAGGAACAAAGGGAGTAGAGCTCTTAATTACCGGAAGATGACGGCCATCACAAATGTCATGGCGGGGAGCATGTTGCTCATTGCACAGGAGAATGTTGGAGAGGTGTACTTGAGCCCAGCATAGTAGAAGTTTTGGTCGATCACAGGTCTGTGAATATGAAGGGGAAAAAAACAGAGGAATTTCATTAGACACACATCCTCTGTTTTTTTTTTTTTTTTTTTGTAAATTTTGTTCACAATAAGAAGTGTCAACGTGTTGTTGTTGTGTGTCATTACCCAAGAAGGCCAAGGATGAAAATCTGCATGAAGATGGAGAAGGTGATCTTTGGCTGCCCTTTCCTGCAATAGAAGAAGAGGAAGAAGGAGTTAAGGCTAAGCCCATGGTTTTTAGTTTCTTCATGAGCCATGGGAACTCGTGGTTAGGGTTATGGAGATGTGAACCTCTCGAAGAAGAGGGCGAAAGGAGCGATAACCGCGGTGGCGAAAGCGTGGCGATAGACCACAAGGACATAGTGGCTCATGCCATGGTTGAGGGAGACCTTGGTAATGATGTTCATCCCAGCATAACCAAACTGCAATGAGATCATTGCAAAGTATGGCTTCGAGGTCTCTAGGAACTTGCTGCACCTAAGCTTCTCCATCTCTCAACTACTCTTTTTTTTTTTGTTTTGGAAGTTAATGTAGTAGTAAAGCTTCTTTGCTCTCTTTTGTTTGAGAAGGGTGGAAGGTTTGGTACTTGGTTGTAACAATGAGAAAGAGGAAGGGAAGGAGAGCCTCAAAAGCCTTTAAGAGTGTAAAGGTTCTTGTGTTTCTCCTTAAGGATAATGTAAGAGTGAGCACTCCTATTTATACTAGTGGAGGGAGGGAGGGAGGGAGGGAGGGAGGGGGAATGCAGGCAGGGGAAGGAAGGAAGGGTGGAAATTGGAGCCATGCAAATTTTTGGGAAATATTATAATGATGGCCTTCCCTTCATTTCCCACCCACATCTTTTCATTGCATGGGTAATGGGTTGGTAAGTAGAAATTCTTGCTTATCTAATGTCTATTACTATAGTCTTTCTTTTCATTTTGTTTTATTTCGTTGGAATAAGAAGTTACGAGAACTCCAACTCATTGATGAAAACATAAACTTTAGTAGAGGTCTTGATCTATATCGTCAAGCACAGATATTGGTAGTACTATACAGTCAAAGATAAAAATAAAATAAAATTTTGGTGAACACCCTTGTATCTAGTGTGGGGTTCCTGTAAGTGGTTAATCTTGTCTTTCAATTGATCATCAACAACTTTAACATCCGTCTTGATTTATTTTTTTGCATATGTTTCTTCGCTAATCTTTTTTTATGACGTAGAAAGACTCTATCCAATGAAGTTTGATTCATACCTTAATTAGTAGAACTATGATTTTGTTGGAAAAATAATCTTGATAATATAATTTTCTGTTTTCCACCTTGTGGTGTGTATTACCTAAAATTCGAATCTTTTTTATGGACATAAAAATCAAAGTACTTTAGTTGCAATAGAAACGTGTTCTCTTCCTCTTATAAGTAAGAGGTGATTTTCACTTTTTTCTTTCTTCAAAGAGATGAAAGCATTGATTGGGTAGTTAAACTTTAACATGAGGAATTATGGAGTTACAGAATTATCCATACATTATTTTCTTGTGGTGAATTGATCACTACGTGTACAAAGTAGGGAAGAAAAATAAATTGGTATAATAAAATAATTATATATGGGATTGGCCAAGGAGTAGTGTTGGATATCTGAGTCAGCCAATAGAGTGAGGTAAGCTCGTAATTACAGCGACAGCTCTATATATTGAGGCTGAGGGCAGCAAGCAAATATAATGCCATATTTATTCCTTTGGTTTGCTTATTGCCTCCCCAGGTGTTTTTTCGATTGTGCGCTCGTCTACATCAAAGAAACTCAATGCCCAGCAGGAAAGGACATTCGTATAACTCCACTATAATAGTTAGAAGGCAATATCAACCATTAAGATGCTGATGATTATGATCTACAATTTATTTGAAGTTTCGAGGTCTATGAATCCTTTGTACATATGCTATCATATGTAGGGATACACTAGGGGGATTTGCCGCAGAGTGGAACTAGTTTCTGACGATATCTTTATGGGTTTTATCTGTACTCGTCCCATATTTGATGAACACGTGGATTCGCAGGGAGGTTGGGGGGAGGGGGGGGGGTTTCGGGGGTTCGAATCCCCTTGGTTGCTATTTTAATTGCAATGGCGCCATTGTGTAAGATTATTATTGCGTTCAAATTAATTTATAGTCATGTCAACTAAATATCGCTAATGTGTCGTGTGATAGTGTTACACGCATTGAATTGTCGCTTTCTTGGTCAGTGATATACGTAATTTCAGTCAACATTACCGCTGGCTGAATACAACTTAGTTGACATGCAAGAAATTGCAGTGTCAGCTGAGTGTTGTTTCCTTGATCAATGGCGTACGTGTAGTCAACGACCAGTCAACCAACAGAAGCATTGGATTGAATTTTTCTTTTCTTCAAAACTTGGTTATTTTGAAAAATGTGTACTTTTGAAAAAAATTCTGTTTGTTTTCACAAAATTTCACTCGGAGATGATACGAAGAAATAATAATCCGACGAATAGGCCTAATATAAAATCACTATTGTTAAAAAATTATAGGTCGTCGACTCGAATTAGAAGGAGGTTTAGGTTCAAAAGTTAACCGATAACTTACAATTGCAAGAAAATATTGTGTAGTTGGTATGAAATGTTTCCTTAATCAAGGTACTTGGGTTCGAATCCCAACAAAGGAATTGCAAATTTACTATTAGATAAAAGGCGGTGGAACAAAAATGGGCAATTGAGTAACACCAATGGGCAGTTAATCGCTCAAATCGACCTTGCAATTTGCTTCAATTTTAGCATGTTTAGACCGGATTTGTTACTGTATTCGATCATTTCTAGTTGAACTGACTCGATCCAACCTGGGTTTACTAGCACGGTTGATAATACACAATATTAAAAATAACATCAATGATAAATATATGGAATTAAACCACACTTTTTCCATATCCTAGCTAATTTTATGCATCAACAGAGGTTCCTGTTTTGGCTAAACTTGATAGGTAGATATATGATATTGAGATCTTAGAAAAGTATATTAATTAATATTGCAAAAGGAGAAAAAGGTTGTGGAAGTATCAATGCTGAATAACAATATCATTGACATCATATGTAGAATATATGTAATACGTACGTAAACTTATTCCTCCAATAACTCCCCCGTGCAATTATCCAAACTGCAAATATATAATTCTACTTTTTTATTATGGAATAATATATTTCTGCTTTCTCTTTAAAGAAATGGGCTAAATGACATAATAATAATAAAAAAGAAATGGATAGTGGTGATTTTGGCTTCTATATATCTCTCAAAAAGGATGATACTTCCCACGAGTCACACATAGCTAGATTATATGGTAGCACGATCCCAATGGGAATCTCTCTTTTGTGTGCATGGTGATTTTATACCCAAAGTTTGTAGCCTGCAGTTTGCCACAAACTGTACAAAAAACTCATCAGGTTTTTATATTATGAAGAAAAAGGATATTATTTTGGCTCATTATCGGCTTGGCTCAATCGTAATGATATCAGTTTTGTTGAAGGATTTCAAATTTAAATCACATTTTTTATTTGCTATTAGGAAGAATACAATTCGTATGATGAATTCATTGGTCTCGGTACTTTGAATTGAACGAAAAGTCCAAGATAATATTTATATCATTCTCTTACATGTCCTCTCAAATGAATGAGTTTTGAATTTTACCATATGTGTAAAAATCAACCGTTAAAATTTGAGAGAGAGTTGTGGAGTTCAAACAAGTTACTTCTCATGCAAAAGAACTGATACCATATAAAAACCAATGAATCCAAGTTGTTGGGCAAGTTTGGAAGTTACATCATTCTCTTACATTATATATCGTGGTTTGCTAGTAGGATGTGTACTAACTCACCAATAAAATCGTGATGGTATGTATTAACTCATTCGTAATTAACCCAACAAAGATGATGATATAAAATTTACTTTATTTACCTTAGTTTTGGCGAATAGTCCTCATATGTTAAATTAGCAGAAAGAACATAACTCTGTCAAATCACATCATGTAATACTCATACTCTAATCACTGCTAGCTAGCTAAGGGGACTTTTATCTGACTATATAGCTCTTCTCATCAATCCTAGCCATATATTCCCCTCAAGAATCTCTCCTTCTTCCAACAACCCAAATTGATTAATTAACAATTTCAAAGCATAGTGACAAAAATTCCTTAGTTGGTATCCCTCCACAATCCATATATGTAACTATGGAATATTAATGAATGTGATCAGAATAATGATATATGTGATATAACGCATGCATGCACTAATTAATCTTGCATATATTCTCCTCTATCTAACTTAGTTTGGTTTCTTTCTTATCAGTAACTTTGAGAACGTTAATGGTTTTACTTGTAACACAACCTTTTATAGCTTTTTTTCTTCATTTTCAAAGAACAAAGGCACAAAGGGTGGCAAGAGATAAGCAAAGCAATCGATGATTTCGGAAAGCTGTCTGTGGAGAGTGAGAAATTGCAATGAAGGGATGGATGCAACAAGAACCAACCCATGTGTAAAATTACTAATATACATTGTAGTACTATTTATGTAACCCTAGCTACAACAACGTGAGATATGGGGAGAAGACAATTAAGGTGGCTAAGGTAGTAGGGGTCTCAATATCCTATTTAGATTCCTTGTCGGCTCTCTTTTCTTTCCTTTAGCCTACATTCTTGGAGGTGTCTTTATTCCCTGCCCTCCCTTCCCCTCATCTTTGGGGGTGTAAGAAATGAAGTTTGATGATCGATCAGTCAGATGTGTTCCTCAATGTTTCAGCTCAAAAGTAGCTTTCTTTCTTTTGTTTTTATCCCCCCTCATTAACTTTCTAGATCATGTTTTCTATGGTGTAGAGGCCAGCCTCTGAACCAGTTTCATCTCAATGAATGGATGATCCCAATGCCAGCATATATGACATGTAACACATTTGAGTTAACTAATGAATGGTTGACATTATATTTGAGTGCAAGCAGCACATGGAGGGACTACTTACCGGTTGTTTGCTTCGTGGATTTGAAAATTGAAAGTTTAGGTAAAATTTGGTTTTGTAAAACCATGGATATATGAGACTTTTGGGTTCATTATGTACTTGAAAAATATCATTGTCGAGTTAGGCGTTAATACGCCAATCTTATTACCAAAAAAAAAAATATATATATATATCATTGTTTGTCGTGGATTTCATGATGCAATTGATTATTAGATTTGTATGTATGAAATGAAATTTACCTTTATTGCCCTCATTGCTATGAGAAGAGAATGAAATAGGAGGGGTAGTTTGGTCTTAAATGATGAATTTCAAAAGTCCATGATCAATTCTCACCTAAAAGGGTGGAACTTTCAAGTCGGTGGGGTCCACAAATTTGGACCCTTAAAAGTTTGTGGGACCCACGAATTTAATTTGTTGCCCCTAAATGCATGAAACAAACAATGAATTTTGGACAAAATTCATGATGTAACCAAATCCATTGAGTGCATTATTGTGATGTGGTTTCTCATACAGCGAAAATTTATGATCCCCATAGACATAAAGCCAAGCAATAATTCAATATCATGCCACATTAAATCTAGGGATGACAATTGGGTCTCAAAGTTTGGGTATTACTCAAATACAACTTATTATAGATCAAATCAAGTTTTGGTAATCTTATTTTTGGGGCATACCAAT